GTGAGTAGCCGTGTGAGTAAATATATTATATTGAGGCTACACACTGTGATTCCGCATAGCCCCTCACTGTGATTACATGTTATATGTGTTATAATCTACCTGTATTGATATGGTGATTACCTCCTTCTCAGCGTGCTTATCTGATCGCAGTCATTCTATTATGCATATATTTTCATTATTATATTTTGGTTGCTTTCTCCTAACCCCTGGACCATTGTTCCCCCTCCAAGACACTTAGAACTGACATTATCACAAATTCCCATTGCTTTGATGTGACTGTGGTGTGGTTATATCCCTTAGTCCGAAATGCTATCTCACGTGGGAGTACAATTTACCATTCTGAATGAAATCACATTTAACAGTTCAACGTCACACCTGTCTCCTCCACGCTATTTATAGTTTTCTAAGCGTCATTTGTACGCTGCAGCATCTCCAGGTATGAATGGATACGTCTACAGCTGCCCGTCTGTGTTTGAGGTATGACTTAATAGTGGTACTGAGGCAGATATTTTCATTTCTTTCTGTCCCCATGAATTGTTTTACGCTAACCATGGGAGTATGATTTGTTTATCACCACGGCTAAATGTTTGGAACATTGTTGGTTTAATATAGACAAACCCCATTATGCCAATGTTGTGCAAGAAAAGATTGATGTATGAACTTGCGAGACCAGAACCTCTGCAAGGCATACCTCCGGGGCTACTGGATTTTACACCACAAGAGAAACAATAATATCGCGTGTACTTCAATTGTGTCTGTAAATATTATTTAAGTATGTTCTCTGAAATTGATCCTCCATAACTTATTGTTTTTATACAACATCTTGTGGTCACATTAGTGCTTATATTCTCGCTCGATTAGCCAATGGTATAAAATACGACATACCTATTCATTCTTCAAGACCAGTACTTTAAATAGTTGAAGTGTTTGCACTGTGACTTCGATCCACGAATAATCCGGTAATATAGCTCAATAATTGATTCTTATTAATTAAACCAATAATGATTTTTTGTATATTAGAGATAGAAATTTAATTGGAACCGAGGTATCCCGAGTTATCCCAATATATGGTGCTTAGATATGAGTGGTTTGAGCGTAAGGATCTGTTAGCATTTACCTAGAATGACCACTGCTTAGCTGTCCTCCTTCTAACGTACAGCTCACAGAACACAAAGTCTGAATCTTGAGTTTTGCTTAATTTCTGTATTGCTCCATTCACGTTTTACACACAAACATTTGAGTTCTTCTCTCAAACAGAAAACACTTCAACTTGTGATGTCATGTAATAATATCCAAAGATGCTCTACTGTCTCTTTTTCATTTGGATCATTTAAACCCAGAAATTTACAATCTCTACTTAAGAAAAGGTAAAACATAGCTTCTAACTTGCAAACTTCTGCTTAATGACATCGCAACGGTGGAACAGAGAAATTTGAGGTTTTGAGCTGTAGACAGTCTAATAATAAAGGATTAATCAAACATGTGAAAAAAAGCACAACTACAGGTATGATTTTGATCAGGTAACAACATTCTAACATGGCTCATAGGAGTAAATTTTGTGTAATATAAGACTTTTAAGTAAATGCAAAATGTATTCCTGTTATTGAGATGTATTTTCTGGCATAGTCACAAGGGAAACATATTCAGACATTCAGCTTGTTGAGATTCACTTCCTCTTTGTAACAAGCATGTGTGATGAATTGCACTATCATTCAAATGCATTACTCAAGAAAATTACCCATAGTCCCTTTCTCTCAGCAAGGAGACTTAAGGTTCAAGTCCCCAAAGGTATCTGCATATCTTCCACGTGTTACTGAAGCCATGTACCTTCACACAGTACTAAAAGAAGCGTTTATAAATGAATGTATTTACGATCCAATAGTGTTTTAGGTCCTCAAATACACAGTTCTTTGTCTTTTGGGTAATCCGGTACCATTTAAAACTGCTAACAAGAAACAGTAAAAAAATCAATACTGACTGAATAAATTACACAACTTGTGATCTGTCTAATAAATTGCATTACCAGCTTATAGAAAACACAGCGTTCATCTTGGTGCTGAACTTAACAATGTGTTACTTGTGTTAGCCTTGTGAATCAGAGCTGTTTGACCTTTACTCTGTTTAATATGAAATTGAAGCCCATTGCACAAGCTTTTGCTTAAGTGTCTCTTCTTAGAAACAGAACTACAAAAGCATTAGAGATAAAGGCGGCACCGTGAAGGCCACTGAAGTTACCTTTCAAACATTTGTTAGCGGAGACAGCGTCAGAAGCTGCAAATTGGTCTGAGTGTGATAATGAGGAGAAGATCAGAGTAGATGTCTTTCATGCATAATCCACAAAATGAACACCAGATAGAACTCTCCTTGTTAGGATTCAAAAACTGATTTTTCATTTAAGATAATTATCATCATCCATCTCCCCAATCCTTGGTAATGTGAAACAATTATATATCAGATTATTTTTCTTGTTACAGCAGTACAGGCTGTAGCCAAGTGTTTTTTGTTCTGCTATGTTCTCTTTATGCATCATTAGGAAGTATGGGTGGCGCAGAGAATCATTTTGTACATAAATGTGGCACCCAGCATGCGCACACCACACATGGATTTAGCTTGTTTTACTTGAAAATAAGAGCAGTCTAAAACCTGAATCAGAGACCTAAGCTGCTCTTTCATCCCTCCTTAAAGACTCACAAAAAGTCATCTGTGTTCAGCAGCACCTCAGGAGGCATGGGCCCTGGCAAGGACACGCTCTGTGAAATGTACTGGCATCCCAATTACCACAGTCACCCTATTTCACTGTGACGTGATTAAACCTGCCAAGTATGTATAAGACAGGCAATTTACTTTGAGGGTCAGTCGTGAATGGTGTACAAAACATGTGATGCTCTGTGGGTTTTTTAAGATTATGAACAAAGAAATGTACATTAGCGGAGATGATATGCAAACATGGACACTTGGTCATGGTAAATGTAGCCTACTGTTTGTACTAATAAAATATCTTGAGGACTTTGTCACACTTCACAAAGACCTTTGTCCCTTAAAGAACACACAGTGACATGAGCACAATTAAAGATTGTGTTTAGCTTCCTCTTGGCAAGGTCACGCTTGTAAAAGAGATTGTTTATTTGAATAGACCCTTTCAGGAGTGACATGTTTAGAAGAGCTGCACACACAACCTGATAGTGATAAGATCATTCTATTCCATTAATTTTAGGCAGCAAAATAAAAAAATAAAAAACATTATTATTATGATTTTTAGTAACAAGTACTAAGAGTCAATATCTAACTTCCTCTTATTTGGGCAGGATTTGTGGTGCTTTGTGAAATAAAATGAAACTGTCATTGTCATGTTGTTGCTCAGTCTGATTTTGCTGTGTAATTTGTCTGGCATAACAATTTAAGTAATGTTTATTATATCTATATATCCTACCTATATTAAATATAATTAAATGTTGAAATATGCTTAATATGCCACCATATTCCATTTAAATTTGTTATGTAAATGAACATATTTTAAACAGTTCATCTTCAAATCAGAATTATTTGCTTTTAATTGACATAAAATAATTAAGTGAAAAAAGAGATAATAATATATTTAAACAGGGTGAACATTTAGAGTTTAGTGTGCTGCAGTGATTCTGAATAAATGCCGAATAGCCACTGTTTTTTTTTTTGTTAGCTTTTTTTTTTTTTATTTATATGATTTTGAGCACTCAGATTCTCAAACACTCAGCTTTTCAATAGACGGTCTACCTTTAAAGAAGCCACAAACCTTTTATTTGAAGACCGTGAGCTGCATTTTAAGCAGGGAGAGAAAGGATGGATCGAAAGAGGGGTGAAGTAGGCAATTTAGTTTAAAAAAAATAAAAAAAATTTTGAAAAAGAGTTCTTTGAAAATAATTTGGGTTAAGATCATAGCCTATATAAATGGACATAGCTAAACAGCTAGCTGCTGCGTTCCAAACAGCTACTGAGCTTGGGCGTGCTTCTGGCGCCATCGACCCTGGCTGCAATTCACTTTCTACTGAAAAAAACTCGGCCCTCTCTCAGTAAATGCTGCTGTCGAGCTCGTCATTTTGGTCTTAAAAATATTCATATTAACTTATTCTATATGGTCCTTGTATTTATTGTGCTATTTTGTCTCTAAATGAAGATATGAACTTTAATGACGGACAAATCAGGTGCCTTCTTTCTCTGAGGTCTCTCCTGGTAGTGTTAGGCTTGATTGACAGCGTTGCTCGACGCCTGCATTATGGCATTACCTTCAACATCCTTTCTCTGGATTGGCTTTTTGGTTGCCATGGTACTTGCAGTCAAATTCCAAATATAGAACTCCGCTCCACATTCACCCCTATAACTCCTATAAGCTTAATTTGGTTGGAGCTGAATGCTATGGTTGACGTCATACCCACTTTGTTCACCCCTTGATAAAGTCTATGGTTAAAATATACTGTGATACGTGCGGCTGCAATATCCTCAAACCTTGGTCAAAAAATTTTTCAAAGATGGTAGATAGATAGAAAGATACTTTATTGATCCTGAAGGGAATTTTGGCAGCAGCAACAATGAAACAGTGTGCAGTCCATCCTGTTGCATTCATCAGCTTTAGGAATGTGCTGTACAGACATATGGCACACGTTACTTCTAGAAGCAATAAGCCATGCATTAACTGTTTTCCAGGTAGCTGACAGTTGGAGCTTTTATACAGTAGTCACAGTGAGTCATCTGACAAGGTTTTCCAGCATCTCCTTTCTAATGGAAATGGGAAAAGGAGCATACCTCTACATACTGTATTTGATCTGTGATTATCTTGACAAACATAGAAATTGGTCATTACAGTCTATTCATCTCTCAACCATCTGTCCTGTAAAAAGGCCACTCATGCTGATTATAACAGCTCTGTAACAGCACTTGATGTTCTCCAGTTGTTAAGTAGCCTGTGTACTTATTCCATGTAAAATAAATGTATCATAAATGTGTTTGGGTCATTTTTTAACAAGCAATGAGAGATACTGTATGTGTACAAATTGTTGCTCAACTTTGCCATGTTTTTCCCCCCTTAATAAACTCTGCTATTTCACTCACATTTTCCATTGTTGCTGCAGGTTCCGTTGCATCGTGTACCCATTCAAGCAGAAGCTGACCATTTCCACAGCAACTATGATCATCGTCATCATTTGGGTACTGGCCATCTCCATCATGTGTCCCTCTGGAGTGATGCTGCAGGTGACCAAGGAGCACACCATCCGTGTTTTACTTGGCTATGACAACAAGACCAGCCCCTTCTACTGGTGCCGCGAGAACTGGCCCAACCAGGAAATGCGCAAAATCTACACTACAGTTCTGTTTGCCAACATCTACCTGGCTCCCCTTTCACTCATCGTGATCATGTATGCTCGGATTGGAATAACCCTTTTCAAAACAACAGTCCCAACAGGAGGTAAACCGGGCCATGATAACCGCCACACTGTGTCCAAGAAGAAGCAGAGAGTCATCAAAATGCTTTTAATTGTAGCATTGCTTTTCATTCTCTCCTGGTTGCCACTGTGGACACTGATGATGCTAAGCGACTATGCCAGCCTTACTGAGCAACAGTACAGAATCATAAATATTTACATTTATCCTTTTGCCCACTGGCTTGCCTTTTTCAACAGCAGTGTCAACCCTATTATCTATGGATTCTTTAATGAGAATTTCCGAAGAGGGTTTCAGTCTGTGTTTAAGTTTAGTCTGTGCACAGCGAACGGACAGAGGAGGAAAACATATTCCCATAGGTTGCAAGGAAACTCAGTGCTGCCGGCAAACCATGTGCAAACCTCTATGGAGCCCATTTCTCTCAATAGCCTGGATAAGACTAATTGCAGGAGACTTAACCACGTGACTGAACAGGACCTGGTCATGGAGGACCTTGAGAAAGGATCATGCAGCAGTGGTGGCGTGACCGCAGTGTCTATATGAATATATTCCCACCAAGGTGATGAGCATATTTGAATTTCAGGAAATTGCCTTTGTCAAATCAAATTAAGTTGTCCACTCTTTGCATAAGTAGATGGCACAACTCCCACAAGTAGTGTTTTTTAATAAGATTTGCTATATTGAAAAGTAAAGAGTAATTTTTAAAGAGTTATTTTTTGTGTTGCTCTTTTGTCTACGCAACCTCAAAATTTCAGATTCTAATCACTTACTTACTTAAGTTTATTTACACTTTTTAGCTTTACAGTTATAAAAAATGATCACCAATTCTATAGTATAGTCAACCAAAATACTGAAATAGTACGTGCAAATGCAGTTGTCACTGTAACATATGGGATTTATGGACAATATAATGCTGATCGTGCTGCTCCATGACATACCTCTGTAAAGATGTAAAAAAGAAAATGGTGCATCAAACAACCTCAAGTTTACATTTAATTTCTGTGATTAAATGTCCTGAAAGAGACTCTACACATATGTTTGATGCCATTTATATATATTCATGAAGATATATCATGATCTTTTTCTTGAATGTACTTGTAAATCTCTGTGAATTTCTGTCATTTGAAATCTATGAGAAACTATGATGTAGATTTAAAGAGGTGTGAACATGTGCTGTCTGTTTGTCTGTGATGCTTTGGTTCTGTTGTTACTTGATGAGATTAGTGCAAAATGCCCCATACAAACAGGGTACGCATTCACACAATGCGTTAAATACAGGGATTAAATGGTCAAAAGCACACAACTATATTTTTGCCTTTCTAAATGTAAATATTAAGCATAAAGAGTAACTTATCTTCAAGTCATTACCATGTACGGACACTTTCTGTGCATGGAAAATCCTGCAAAAGTGGGCAGACAGAGAAGAGCAAAAAGCACAAGATCTCTTTACGAAAAGTAACAGTGGTAGAAACATACTTGTGGTTCAGAACTTCAGACAGTGTAAGTTAACTTGTTGTTATGGTAGTTTGTGGTATAGATATTTATTCTTCCAGAAATAATCTCCTTTGACCAGGATCGGAACGTTGTTTCTTGGAATCAGGAGTCAGTCCAGTTCTCTTTAATGAGGCAGAAAAATGCAATTTGTACAGTATTACATAAGTTTTAGGTTGCTGCTCTGATGGCTCTTGTGTTCAAATGTGGTAGACTGGCTGTCATTCAGTATTATCCATAGTCATGTTTGGTGGCTAACGCACACTGCTCCATTGCTTTAGAGCCAATATGCAGTCACTCAGTTCACACAGTCTGGAAGGCCCTATTTACTAATGTGTGTAAAACAAATGGAAGCGTGTGTTTTTGTCACTGGTTTGGGGCAAATTACTCTTTAAAACAACATGACTTAAGACCACTTCCATAATTGAAATCAGAACAGAGTGGTGCTGGGGGGCAAGAGTGGAGGAAAGAAGGAGACCGGACCCTCAGTTTTCTACAGTGCTCTCAAAACATAATAGAAGTATGAATAAAAACTGCCCTGCACCACCAGCCGATCTTTATGACCTGTTTTTCAATCCACTTATTTTAAAGTCATAGTTCCTGGCTCATCTGACATATCTACTTAACTCTTGTGTGGCACATTAGTCATTGCACCAAACTGAATTCTTTTGTGTATGTTGTGGGTGACTTGCCATCTGGAAACTGCCTAGACAATAATTGGATGTTTGCCGGCAACACAATATTGAGAGTGAAATGCCAACCAACAAACAGCCTTTAGGATTATAAACATGCTGGCACAAGGGATAGGAATCTTAACACTGCTGGAAAATAGAACCAGAATTAGATGTATTCTGCTGTATCCTGCTTTAGTTCTTCTCAATGCAAATATGTCAAGGGGATTCACAGCAATTTAAAACACATTTGCAACATGGAGCACTTGATTTGATGACAAACAAGGTTGTGACTTGTTATTTTCACCCTCCGGCTTTGAATGTAATGAATTTGTACTTTTTGTGCCTGTGGTACATCTCTTTATGCGCTCTGACCCTAAACAAGGGCACATGAAATAACTGTGAACATATTAGTTGGGGATTTGGCCTAAGTGACTGCATGTGAATGTCTAGTGTATATGCATGAGTGAGTTTTATATGTCTTATATGTTTGGGGTTTGTTTTGTTTTTATTAACTGTATAAAATGATTTCTTAAGGACACCATGATTGATGGTATTTACAACAAGAGAATAAGACAAGTTTTAGAACGCATTGGGATGTCCTGTTAAATTGTGAAGGGCTATTCACAGCATTCTGACTTACCTCTGTGATTGTCTGCACAAATGTTATAATAGTCTAACTGCCATGTGGATAGTCATGACAATAGCTGGCTAATGCCATTGTGCAGTGTATTGGTGACTTTCTGTTTGTACACAAAAAGGGTGGCTGTGAATGACTAGTGTATTTTTAAATTATTAAAAATTAGCTGTGCCTACTGGGTCAAGGCCAATCTGAAATGTATTTGGATCTGTATGGAACTGTTTTGGAAACATGTTGCAATGTACATTTGTTGGGATTTGTTTTCCTGTGCGTTTGATCTTTCCAAAACCACCATCCGGGACAACTGATCAAGAGTAATGACCAAGCACACATCTTTTTGCTGTTGGGCAAAATTGCAAACCATTCTGCCACAGCATCAAACTATTTGTTTAACATGAAAATATGAGAAATATATACATATTATATATGAAGCATAAAAATATTAAAAAATACATAATATATTTTCTTCAGGACACACATCAGTTCAGTCTGAACTAAAATGGTGAAGTTAATTGGCTTTTCCCGGTGCATTTAATTTAAAATATTAAAATGGGGAACAATCCAGGATGCCAGGGAGAGTTGACACAGTTTATGTGCAGTCAGAGCAATATGAACATACTGTGCATGTAAATTCTCTTGGTTCATTATTATTTCATGTTGCAATATACAGACCCTCCTTATACTTCCTGTTTATCATCATTATTTCCCCTGTAAAAGAAAATAAACATGCCTAAACCTAAATATGTCACATTATTCAGGAAGCAGTCAAAGTGACAGGTTCCTCTTCATGCCCTCTTGTCAGTATGGTGAACATTGTACTATTAATATGTCACATAACATATATGACACCAAAAATACTCACATCTGTTTCTGATGGAGGAACAGGCACCATGCATTAACTTTGTGAGACACAGCCTGTGGTACCAGCACTTAATGTTTTTATTATCATTGTTTAAATTACAGAAATATGAACCTAATAAGAGATACAACATATTTAACAATATTTTTTTTATTCAAATATATCAGTATCATCATGCATTTGTGAACAGGTAAGAAGAAAATGTATGGAATTTATTTCATTCCACAATTGGCCTTGTACCATTGTAAAAGATTGTTGTTTTTTTTCCCCCTCCTGCTTACATTTGTCACCTGTCTGTCCATGTGACCATACTGTCAAAGATGTTTGTGTTAAAAGCAAATCTCATTTGTTTCATTAATAAATATATTCATACATAACTGTGGCCATTATTGTTTTCAGTGTCACTATCAGTTTACAGGATTTTGATCTTGTATTGCCTATGCTTTTCTATGTGGCTCCTCAATAGCCTCTATATAAATACATGATTAAACATCTTATATGATGCAAAACCGAAAAGTGTGAAGTTTAAGTCCGGATAAAATGTTGTTACCTCATCAAAAACATACCAGTATTTATTTATTTTTTTTACATACACACATGATCAAGTAATCCTGCATTATTGGACTGTCTACATCTCAAAGCTCAAAATGCTTTGTTCCACCTTGTGATGTGAGGATACTTCTCAAGTTAACAACCTTTAACCTTTTATTCAGTAAATTCTAGGGCAATTCTAGGGCTGAAATTATATAAATGATTCTAGTGAAAGTGTATGAAGTTTAAAAAGACAGTGGAGCACTTACTGTATCACCACATGACATCCCAAAATGAAACAGAATGTTTTCTGTTTGAGAGAAAAACACAGGCTAAATGTGCAGGATTTGTGTTTAACGTGTGAATGAAACAAAACACAACTCTAGATATGTTTTTGAGGAAACAACATTATAACATGAATGTAATGTAATGTAATGAACATGGACATAGCAGTTCATTGGCTAAAAGTATGCTATTTTAAAAAGTAATCAGTTTCTTGCACTTTACTCTTTGTATAATAATGTAATAATGTTTTCAAAAGCCAAATGCATTTTACCACTATCAAGGCTCTACAAACTCACATTCCAAGCCGTGAGCAAGAAATCAAGCATTTTTGTGGAAACATCTGCTGTTAGGTCATCAGAAACTAAACACAAAAAAACAGCTCAGACTGTCTAATGTAAATGAGATGATATTTCATAGAACATATTTCGTTGAACATAAATAGCAGGAGGAGATGCATACATACTGTGTCAAATGAACTCTGTTTCAACTTTCTTTAACAGGGCAAATCCATAGAGGGTTTATAGGGCAAAATTGAAGTCAATCTCAGATTAAGCTCCCAAACATACATACCACAACTGTACAGATACATTAGCTCACACTGAGTTAAAAGCATGCATTAAAGGTGGAAGTTAATGATTTCTTAATCTTAAAAGCTCCCTGTATTGTTTAAGATCCGTTCCTGATTTGACAGAACAAACATTTGCTGTTAATTGTATCATAAAAGGGTATTTTGTTTTGCTTTAAAAAGAATGTAATCTCAACAGGACAGAAGTACAAAATGGCTTTCAATTTCATGGTTTAACAAGAATAAATGTGCTGAAATTCCTGCTTTACACTAACTATACACGCAGAGACATTGGTTAATAAGATCTGACTGTGGCTGGTTCATGCTTGAAGCTAATCAATTGGGCTCTTGTGAATTAGACTGACTTATCAAGTGTCCAGACAGCCGTTAGTCTTGTGCTGCAGTGAAGGAGCGCATTGTGGTGGGGACAAAAGAGGACAAGGCTACCCAGGGCATCTCCAGGGATTGGGCATGGCCAGATGGACAGTCTCAGAGCCCAGG